AGCAGAGGCTTCCCAGGGTAAAGGAGCGGTCCTTTGTGCTCATCCTGCGTATAAATCACCAGGGAGCTTTAAAATGAGAAAAGACCTTGCTGACCCAGAAGGTGGCATTTATAAATAGTCCTCCAGCCCCCCTCCTTAAAGCTTGTCCACCTAATCCTCTCCTCTCTCAAGACTGGAAGTGACTTAACCTTTGGGTCTTAAAACTCAGGCACTTTTTCTCAGAAAAATCTGGTTAGCAAAAAGCTGTTAAAACAAAAAATATTTTCAGCCAGGTGATGATCAGCCACCAAAGCTTGCCTTTCATTTCCAACATTTTTAGCCAAATATGCTTCCTCTTTTGAGGACCAGCTTTTCTCGTTGTTATTATTTTAAGACACCTACCTCAATAATTTTTATTTCTTTTTACTAACAGGCTATCATGGATTTGTATTTATATGATTTGTAAAGCTGTTCCCAAATGTCTGCATCTCTGCCATGAACTAAGCACCTTCCTTTGCAGCCCTAAAATTACAGAACTTGGAGGGGCTCTAAGTAGCCTCCATCCCAAATCATTGGATGGAGCTCTGTTTGTATTTCTCTAATTTTGCATTATTTATTGAGGATAAAATCTTACAGGTCTTGTTAGGATTATAAAATAAAGCATGTGATATAGACACTGATGCACAGTTTTCCACATTAGAAGACATGGAGGAGATGCCTAATTGTTGAACTGGGTAAAGATATTTTGAAAAAATATATTTTCCAAAACTATAATTAAATCCTTAACCTGATTATTTATAAAGAGAAGAGACACTTATGTTAGGGAGATAAATCATGTATTTTTAGCAGCTTCTCTGCCTGGCTGTAAAATGGAAGAATCTTAAATTCACTACCCCCTAACTATCAGAAAGAACACTCTAATTTAGGACTTTTTTCTTATTATCCCCTAATAGAATGAAGAATAAGTCCTGGTCCCAGGCTTTTCTTTGCTGACCTGGGCCAGGGGCAGTAATGCTTTTTCTGGAAGTTGCTAGGTCTGATCCAGCTGTTGCTTTGTGAGGGGAGCCCATTCTTCAGGGCTTTACTTGCAATAGTTTTGCTAGAATGCCCACTTGCATGTGAGCCTGGAACTTAGAAGTAATTTTAGTTTTGTTTGGTTTTATTGTTTAACTTAAGCAGTCTGGTGTCCAATGTGTCTGTATTGGTAAATGAAGACTATCTGTAGAGAAGGAATGAAAAGCATGTACAGAGCAGGTTGGATGAGTACTGTGTCTTCTGAAAACCTTGGGCTTAGATGTCTAAGGCAGTTGTGTGTAGATCTGAGCTCAGGGTGGACTAGCTAGAGCAGTAGTATGTGTTGTTTTATTTCTCCAGTTGGGGATGCGTTCTATTAATATATGGAGACCCCAGAATGAGTAAGAATATTTGTAGTAATTAGAGTTTAAGACATGACCTAAGCAAGTGTGTATACTTTTGACTTGCTTTGGAATTTAGTTGTTAAGGAAAAAAAAGTGGAGTTTAGAAATATGAAGCAGAGGAAAGAAAACCACCTAGGTGTAGAAGAGCAGCAGTATCTGCTGATATACAGCCATGTGCTACACAGCAACGTTTCGGTTGACAACAGACTGAGTATAGGACAGTGGTCCCATAAGATTAGTACCATATAGCCAAGGCATGTAGTAGGCTATACCATCTAGGTTTGTGCAAGCACACTCTGCTGTTTGCACAACAACGAAATCACCTAATGACACATTTCTCAGAATGTATCCCCGTTGTTAAGCAACACATGACTATAATGAGCATACAAGGAGAGTTTGTTAGGATTGCACACACTGAGAGGAGAGTAGCACAACCAACACAACTTCAAAGCAATGACAGGTTCATGCAGTGGGGGAGGCACTGCACAAGGTCCAGGGCACAGGAAGCTAGGGTACACGTCACATCACAGGCGCTCCACTGGATAACCCATAGTTATCTTTTGTGACTTTTCCTATATAGGAGCAAAACCTAGAAAGAACCTCTCCAGAGGGTTAAATGTAGTACGATTACATACATAATGATGCTAATCAACTGTGTTGTTCAGTGTTCTCCACTGCAAGCTCCCAAAACAATGGACGAGGCTCTAAGGCTCTCTGAGGCTTTCAGAACTGACCGGCAGTGGGAGGACAGGGCCTGCAGCAACGGCCACACTGCAGGAAGGGTCAGGTTGGCACTACCCGCTGCCCCACCCTGAAGAACTGCTGACTTGTTCTCAAGTCCTTCGGGGCCCCAGAACTAGGTACCCAGATGTCGAAGCCCAGGTCGTATGTTTGCCCCCAGCTGTCCAGAACTGGGAGAGAAGGATCTGGATCTTCTAGTTGCTATAGTACAAAGCAGTCACTGCCTCCCATGGGGGAAGGGAGGCTGCAGGGTGCTGTTGGGAAGAGGATTTGGTTGCTAGACAGCAAAAAAAAAAAGAACATGTAAACTGTATCAACTGTATTTATCTGAAGCTCCGTCTCTTCACAAATATTAACCATCTTTCTCAGAGTTAGCTTCCATGCATGGATAATATTCTTTTCTTTTCCTTTAATGATTTGTCCATTGTTTTTTAAAAATTTTTTAAAACTTGGAACTATGTTTTTAAATTTAGTCTGTGTGTGTGTGTGTGTGTGTGTGTGAGGAAGATTAGCCGTGAGCTAACATCTGTTGCCAATCCTCCTCTTTTTGCTGAGGAAGATTGGCCCTGGGCTAACACCTGTGCCCATCTTCCTCTACTTTATATGGGACGCTCCCACAGCATGGCTTGACAAGCGGTGCGTTGGGGCGTGCCCGGGATCCAAACCTGCGAACCCCAGGCCACCGCAGTGGAGTGCACGCACTTAACCGCTGCGCCACCAGCCCAGCCCCCCAGATTTAGTCTTTATTTTTATCAAAGCTGTATGTGTACGTTGTTTAGAGTCATAGTTCTACCAGTTTCTAAGGAAGAGCAGCATTCCATGTCCTCCCACTCCGATTTTCTACGCTCCAGAGAAAACTATTTTCAATTCTTTATATCTGATTTATTTGGTATTTATCTTGATATTTCTAAATAGCACACTGTGGCTATGTCTCAATGTTTCCGTTTTAGGCGTTATTTATCGACTTCTCACTATGGAAAATGAATTTTGTTCTTTCTCAACACTTTACGCCTGACCACACACTCATGCTCTTCTCCTTCCCCCATCCTCCAGGATAATTGTGTTGGGTCCGTATTATTATGACGGTGTCAACACTGTTTGCAGTGCAACCATGTAGTGTACTGTAACTACTACCTTCTTCCAGGACCACCTTTGATTCTTCCCTGATGTTAATAATTGTCTTGGTTTTTTATTCATTTGCTTAGATTTTCTGTACTTCCCACTAATTTAACCCCAAATCTTCCCTAATTGTGTAAATCTTCTTTCCATTTAAACACATTAAATATTCTATGAATTTCATCTTCTTGAAAGAAAAACCCTCCCTGAGTGTCTGCCCCTGCTCTTGTCTGGACCCTGGACCAGTTGCCCTCCATGCCTTTTAAAGAGCTATTGTTCTGGGGTCTCCTTCACTGTCACTCCAAGGACCCCTTTACCTGTCTCTTGTTTTAGATCCCTTGCTCTCTGGATCCCATGTCATCCTCTTCCTTGGTCTTCCCTGTCATTTTGAAGGAGCATATTTTCATTAGTTTGTTAAGAAAGTATTTTTTTTAGTTTCGGAAGTTATTCCCCTGAGAATTTAAAGGCACTACTCCGTTTTTTTCTATCCTCCAGAGCCCCTAGTGAAAAGTCTGATTTTTTTTTTCCCATTCTAATTTTGACCTTTTATGTGACAACTTGTTTTCCCTCTGGAAGCTTCTCTTTGTCCTTAACATTCTGCAGGTTCACAATGATGTGACTGGGGCACTTGCTGAACCCTTTCAATCTGGGACATTTTCTTGAATTAATTCACTGATGACTTCCTCGTCTTGGTTTTTTCTGTTCGTTCTTTCTCGAACTCTAGTTAGATGCTGGACCTGTTGGACTGATGTCCAGTTTTTGTATCTTTACTCTCCTATTTTCTATCCTTGTTGTCTTTTTCTTTTTCTTTCTGAAAGAGTTCAACTTTGTCTTCCAACCCTTGCGTTGAGTTGTTTGGTTCTGCTATCAAAATGTATATTTTTCTAGAGTTCTTCTTTGTTCTCTGAATGTTCTTTTTTTCACTTGGTATTATTAACTCATTTCTTGTATGATGAACAATACAGAAACTGGAAAATAAAAATACTTAAGTTAGAAGGTGTTTTCTGACTGAAAGAGATTATCAACTGACCAGCCTCGAAAGTTGTAACCTTGAGCCAGAGAAAATCACCTCAAATATACAAAATTCAATTGTATATAATTTTTAGTGTCTGTAAGGGTTATGTTGTCTCTGGTGTTTATTTGTTTGTTTATAATGCTCCTTTTTAAAAGTTTGTATCTTGCTCTGTAGTCTCTTTTTTCCTCTAAGTTGCGTTTTCCTTTTTGTCTTGGTCTGTCGTTCATAGTAAATGCTTTCTTGGGTTTCTGGTGATGCTGGGCTGTCTTCTCACATTTAAGAGCAGACCACCAACAAGCTGCTTGAGGGCTCTGGGCTTGTGGGTGAAGCTCATGGACTGTGATCTTCACGGTAGGGTGATCTGCCTGCGTCATTTCCTGGGATACCTCTCATATCTGTTTCTTTAGGTCTTTTATCTTAGCTGGTCAGATTCTGTTGGAAATTGTTAATTTTTGCACTGTCCATTTTCTACTTCTTTCTTGCTGTTTCTAGATGTGTACAGTCTTCAGGTTCTTATGTTGTAGGTAAAAATATCTCCTCTGGGTCTCTGCTTCTTCCATTAGGTGTCTTTTGGACTCACCTACACGTTCTTGTTTGCTTTCATGGCACTTTGCAATTAGGCCGACTTACTAAAAAGTAAACAGGAGTTGGTAGCAGCAAATCTGAGACACCTCGAGTACAAAGTAGGAGTCAGTTTCAGTGCCTTGTTTTTCCTTAATATATTTGATCAGAAATTGGATGAACCTTCGGGATGCTGAGACAGGGAAGATACTCTGGCAAGGAACAGAAGACCTGTCCATCCCCGGAGTGGAGCATGAAGGTACTTTCCAGCCTTTGTCTGCACTGGGCTGTGGCGATGGACTGATCGGGAGCAGGACCTAGGCATCAGGGAGCTAAGTTAATGCAGACCTCATAGAGGGGCGAGCGCCTGGAGGCACAGCATGTTAATCCACTTGTTGAGATTTCTGGTTCCTTTCTTACATTGCTTTCTCCCACTTCCCAAAACCCACTTTGTGCTGAAATTTTAGCATTAGAATATAACCACAAATATAAACTAAGATCTCAACTTTTTTTTCCCAAAAGAAAATTTGCATTTTTATCTCCCTGAAATAAAAGAAAAACTAAGGAGTTAAAACCAACAGAACAGAGAGAAGGTGCCCATTCAGCTCCCTTCCTGATGAGAGTAGCTAGGTAAGGCCCTTACATGTACTAAACCTGGTGTTCCTTGAACATCTTTCAGTCATATGCACTTGGCCAATTGGGGACCTCTGCCTTTAATTAAAAATTCTGTAATTCTATTACCAAGGCATTCTCTGAAATTTAACATAGATAATGTGTTCTCTATGTTAAATCAGCTCTAAGAAGCTCCTAGAAACTTGAAGCACCATAGTCATGGGGTTTTCATTTAGAATGGCTTCAATATTTCTTTTTCTTTACCAGCCCGTGTTCCCAAGAAAATCCTCAAGTGCAAGGCAGTGTCTCGAGAATTGAACTTCTCCTCAGCAGAGCAAATGGAAAAATTCCGCTTGGAACAAAAAGTTTACTTCAAAGGGCAATGCCTAGAAGGTATTCTACCGCCTACGTGCCTGAAACCTGGGCTTAGGGTCACAGGGACAAAAGGCACGAACCAGTGAACTAAAGCACTGCTTGGGTAACATTCATTTTGCAACTCAGTTTGTAATAGGATTCCTACACCCTGCAAGATTGGGGACCCCCAGCGAAAACAAGCAAAAACAACGCTGGCAACTACAAGGGGCTTTGAGCCCAACAAAAGGATTTCTGACACCGTTAGGCCTGGGGTTGGTGCCTACTTTGTCACGTGTTATTGTAACATGGTCACAAGGAAGCTGCTGGTTAGGGCCTGGTACAGTGCTCTCCATACAGTCTGCTACAGATTGGACTGGCAAGGCCACTCTGCACTGAGTGTTCACCAAGAAGTGTAAAAGTGCACTCGTGTGTCTTAGAGCTGAAATTCCAAGTGAAAAGGCCTATTCTGTACTTCTGTTTATACTTTACATCCAGCCTACTTCTAAGAAAGTGTTGCATATACTGTATCCTCCCACTGGTCCTCGTCCTTTAGACTCCAGAACATAGGGAGCAGGCCTCTCGTGTGGTTCAGACGACAGCCTGAAGGAGACTTCCATGTCCTTTCTTATGCCTCTGGCCTGGAGGTTTCTGATGGCTTCATTGCTGGTTCTCGGGGCAGGAAGAAGTTCGCTTTAAAGAAGGGGGACAGGGAGCCCTGAGACTCTGGGGTACCTGATCACCTGCTTTTCCTTCTTCCTTCAGAGTGGTTCTTCGAGTTTGGCTTTGTGATCCCTAATTCCACAAACACCTGGCAGTCCCTGATAGAGGCAGCACCCGAGTCCCAGATGATGCCAGCCAGCGTGCTAACGTGAGTGAGCAGGCCACAGGAATTGTGGAGTGTGTCTAGAAGTGGGCATGCCAGGCAGGTGGGACTCATGGTCCCGTTTAGCAGGCAGGCAACATAGGCTGAACATAAGGGTGAAAGAGTATCCAGGGGTATCTGAGTTTACAGGTTACTGACTTTGTCATATGAAAAAGATAATGTGATAGAATGGAAAGAGTAAAAAACTTCAGATTAGACTTTTACACTAAATTCCTGACTACCCCTCACTAGCTGTGTAATCTTGGACAATGTACTGTACCTCTCTGGGCCTTATTCCTCTCCTCTCTAAACGTAGAATTAATAATTCTCTTTCACAGAGGTGTAGTGAGGATAAAATGAGATGATATGGAAGGAAACTTGCATATAATATGCATTAAATCTATGCTGATTTGCTCCCTTTCCTAACTACCAAACTTCTGGTACTCTGTACTTTGTTTGGGTGGCCTTTAACAGAATCTGGCAAAGTCCTAATTCTGTTTCAGAGGATAATGTTTGGTTATAGTTTTTCAGAGACTAGCATAGCTTAGCTATGCTTTCTGCTCAAAGAATAATTAGTTTGTCCTTTGTCCAAAAACAGTCAATAACTACCCACCTACTGCCCATCTTGGGAAAAGATATTAGTCTTTCAAAAGTTTTAGTAATAGTGCCTAGTAATAAGTTATTCACATAGATAATTGTGTAATACTGGCTCATCTCTTTTTTTTTTTTTTTTTTTTT